GGGGAGGAGGAAGGTGAGGAGAAGGAGGAGGAGGAGGAAGAGGTAGAGGAGGAGGAAGGTGAGGAGGGAAGGAGGAAAAAGTGTGGAGGAGGAAGGTGAGGAGGGAAGGAGGAAGGTGAGGAGAAGGAGGAGGAAGGTGAATCGGAGAGAAAAGCCCACACACTCAGACACGTGTGGTCCTGACCATAGACTGTATAGAAAGACTCAGTGAGAACAGTGCAGATAGAACCCCAGCTGAAGGAAGGTCTCACCGTGGAGGAGGAGGAGGCCTGGAGCAGAGGAGTGTGTCCTCTCTGCAGCAGCAGCAGTCTGCTCATGTTCATAGTGTCGCAGAGTCTCAGAGTCTGGTCGTCACTTCTTCTTCTGTTGTTGTCGAGTCTTCACTAAACTTACAGGAAGTGACTCGACGCGGCTTCTACTCAGTCCGCAGCTGATTGGCTGCTCACTGTAAACAGCTCTGCATGCTGAAGCCACGCCCCTACTTTCTTACACACCTCCTCTTCTTCTTCTTTTTCTTCTTCTTCCTTCTCCTGCTTCTCCTCCTCCTCCTCCTATTTTTCTTCCCCCTCTCCCCCTTCTCCCTCCTCCTCTTCGTCAGTCAAAGTGTCAACTGTCCAATTTAGGAGAAGCCATCTACCTTAGTCACAGAGACAGACAGGGGACTGGGTCTGCACACAGTGTAGGGACTTTGTGAAGGTGCAACACTAAAGCCAAGCAGAGGATGGACTTTTACTGTCCCCCTAACTATGAGATGAAATATGCACCCCTACATTTACAGGTACAATCCACTAATGAGTCGTCAGTGGCTGTGACAACATCCGTTTTATTAATGGTTAACACATTTACACTCAGCTTTGTAGATCAGTTAGGAGCCAAGAATAAGATCAGCTTTGGGAGTGACAGGTTCCAGTGTAGTGTGAATACCTACAAACCTTTGGAGTCACAGGAACCTTTTTTTTTCTTAAACATTGCTTATGACCTGAAATCTGAAGCACATCTTTATCGAAGCTCTCATATCCTTCAACACAACAGCCTGGTCCAGGTCCGTCAGTAACATCCATCACAGCCCAGAACAGCTAGAATAAAAGAAACACTACTAACCCCTGACACCACACACACACACACATTACAGATTCAGTCATCTACCTTCAGGCTGGAGACAGATCCTTCACATTCACTGAGAGTCATGCTAACCTC